AGGAGACTTTAACACACCACTCACATCAATAGACAGATCAGCCAGATAGAAAGTAAATAAGGAGATGGAGGCACTGAACAATACATTACATCAGATGGATATAACAGATACCTACAGAACATCCCACCCAAAAGCTGAAGAATACATTTTTTTCTCAAGTGTAGGTAGATATTTCTCAGAATAGATCACATCCAAAAAGAGCCTCAATAAATTAAAAAAGATTGAAATGATATAAAACAGCTTCTCAGGCCACAATATGAAATAGAAATAAATTACACAAAGAAAACACATGGAGGCCAAAAAAAAACCAACATCCTTCTAAATAATCAGAGGATAAATGAACAAATTAAAACAGAAATAAGCAATACATGGAGACAAATGAAAACAAAAACTAAACAGCTTAAACTACATGGGATGTGGCAGTCAGTTCTAGGCAGAAAATACACAGCAATACAGGCTTACCTCAAAAAACACGAACAATCCCAAATAAACATCCTAAACTCACAATTAAAGAAACTAGAAAAAGAAGAACTAATGAAGCCCAAAGTTAGTAGAAGGAGTGACATAATAAAGATCAGAGCAGAAATAAATAAAATTGAGAAGAATAAAAGAGAAAAAAGCCCCCAATGAAACCAGCAGCTGGTTCTTTGAGAAAATAAAACAGATAAACCCCTAGATAGACATACCAAGAAAAAAATAGAATACACACATAAACAAAATCAGAAACAAAGAAGGAATGATCACAACACATACCACAGAAAATTGAGAATTAATAAAGAATACTATGAAAAATTGTATGCCAACAAATTGGACAATGTAGAAGAAATGGACAACTTTCCAGAAAAATACAACCTTCCAAGACTGATCCAGGAAGATACAAAACATCTAACCAGACTAATTACCAGCAATTAAATCATATTGGTAATCAAAAAACTCCCAAAAAACAAAATTCCATGTACAGATGGCTTCACAGCTGAATTCTACCAAACATTTAAAGAAGAGCTAATACCTATCCTCCTTAAAGTTTTCCAAAAAGTAGAAGAGGGAAATACAGTCAAACTCATTCTATGAGGCCAGCATCACTCTAATACCACAACCAAAGACACAGCAAAAAAGAAAATTATAGACCAGTATCACTGACAAATATACATGCAAACATCCTCAACAAAATATCAGCAAACCAAATTCAAAAATACATAAAAAGATCATCCATCATGGCCAAGTGGTATTTATTCCAGGAATGCAAGAATGGTACAATATTTGTAAATCAATCAGTATCACACAACACATTAACAAAATGGATAAAAACCACATGATCATCTCAATAGATACCAAAAAAGCATCTGACAAAATTCAATATACATTCATGAAAAAACTCAAAGTTAGTAGAAGGAGTGACATAATAAAGATCAGAGCAGAAATAAATAAAATTGAGAAGAATAAAAGAGAAAAAAGCCCCCAATGAAACCAGCAGCTGGTTCTTTGAGAAAATAAAACAGATAAACCCCTAGATAGACATACCAAGAAAAAAATAGAATGTGTACACACATAAACAAAATCAGAAACAAAGAAGGAATGATCACAACACATACCACAGAAAATTGAGAATTAATAAAGAATACTATGAAAAATTGTATGCCAACAAATTGGACAATGTAGAAGAAATGGACAACTTTCCAGAAAAATACAACCTTCCAAGACTGATCCAGGAAGATACAAAACATCTAACCAGACTAATTACCAGCAATTAAATCATATTGGTAATCAAAAAACTCCCAAAAAACAAAATTCCATGTACAGATGGCTTCACAGCTGAATTCTACCAAACATTTAAAGAAGAGCTAATACCTATCCTCCTTAAAGTTTTCCAAAAAGTAGAAGAGGGAAATACAGTCAAACTCATTCTATGAGGCCAGCATCACTCTAATACCACAACCAAAGACACAGCAAAAAAGAAAATTATAGACCAGTATCACTGACAAATATACATGCAAACATCCTCAACAAAATATCAGCAAACCAAATTCAAAAATACATAAAAAGATCATCCATCATGGCCAAGTGGTATTTATTCCAGGAATGCAAGAATGGTACAATATTTGTAAATCAATCAGTATCACACAACACATTAACAAAATGGATAAAAACCACATGATCATCTCAATAGATACCAAAAAAGCATCTGACAAAATTCAATATACATTCATGAAAAAACTCAACAAAATGGATATAGAAGGTATGTACCTCAAAATAACAAAAACCATACACAACAAACCCACAGCCAACATCATACTTAACAGTAAAAAGCTGAAAGCTTTTCCTAGAAGATCAGGAATAAGACAAGGATGCCCACTCTCCCCACTTCACTCACCGTAATACTGGAGGTACTAGCTATGGCAATCAGACGACACAAGGAGATCAAAGGCATCCATATTGGTAAGGAAGAAGTTTAACTGTCACTATCCGTAGATGACATGATACATTATACACAGAAAACCCTAAAGACTCCACCAAAAAACCGTAAGAACTAATAACTGAATTCAGCCAAGTTGCAGGATACAAAACTAATACACAAAAATCTGTTGCATTCCTATACACTAACAACAAACTAGCAGAAAGAGAAATCAGGAAAACAACTCCATTTACAACTGCATCAAAAAGAATAAAATACCTAGGAATAAACCTGATAGGAAGAATTAATATTTTCAAAATAGCCACCCCTCCCAAATCAATTTATGAAATCCCCATTAGAATACAAATGGCATTTTTCAGTGAACTAGAACAAACTGTTTTAAAATGCATACAGAACCACAAAAGACTGAATAGTCAAAGTCATCCTGAGAAAGAAAAACAATGCTGGGGATATTATGCTCCCTGACTTCAAGCTCTACTACAAAGCTACAGTAATCAAAACAATATGGTATTGGCACAAGAAGAGACCCAGAGATAAATGGAACAGAATGGAGAGCCCAGATATAAACCCACACATATACAGTCAATTAATATACAATAAAGGAGCCATGAATATATACAATGGGGAAAAGACAGCCCCTTCAACAACTGGTGGTGGTAAAACTGGACAGCTATATGTAAGAGAATGAAACTGGACTAATTCCATAAAAAAGTAACCTTGAAATGGGTCAAAGACCTGAATGTAAGTCATGAAACCATAAAACTCTTAGAAGAAAACACAGGGAAAAATATTTTGAATATAAGCATGAGCAACTTTTTCCTGAACATATCTTGGGCAAGGGAAACAAAATAAAAAATGAACAAGTGAGACTACATCAAATTAAAAAGCTTTTGTACAGCAAAAGACACCATCGGCAGAACAAAACAGCATCTTAAGGTATGGGAAAATATATTCATAAATGATTCATCTGATAAGGGGTTAAAATACAAAACATATAAAGAACTCACATGCCTCAACACCAAAAAAACAATAACCCCATTAAAAAATGGGCAGAGGACCTGAATTGACATTTCTTCAAAGAAGAAATACAGATGGCAAAGAGGCACATGAAAAGATTCTCCACATTGCTAATCATCAGGGAAATGCAAATTAAAACCACAATGAAACATCATTTCCCACCAGTTAGCAAGGCCACTATCCAAAGGAGAAAAAATATCAAATGCTGGCAAGGATGTGGAGAAATGGAAACCCTAGTATACTGTTGGTGGGAATGTCAATAGGTGCAACTACTGTGGAATGCAGTATGGAGGTTCCTCAAAAAACTAAAAATAGAAATGCCATTTGATCCAGTAATTCCACTTCTAGGAATTTACCCTAAGAAAACAAAATCCTGACTCAAAAAGATATATGCACCCCTATGTTTATTGCTGCACTATTTGCAATAGCCAAGGTAGGGAAGCAAGCTAAGTGCCCATCAATTGATGAATGGATAAAAAAGATGTGGATTAGCACACATAACGTAGGGGGTTCATGGGGAAGACAGTATAGAACAGAGAAGACAAGTAGTGACTCTATAGCATCTTACTATGCTGATGGACAGTGACTGCAATGGGGTTTATGTGTGGGGACTCAATAATACAGTTGAATGTAGTAACCACAATGTTGCTCATGTGAAACCTTCATAAGATTGTATATCGATGATACCTTAATAAAAAAAAAGATGTGGAACACACATACAGTTGAATATTATTTAGCCATAAAAAGAAAAGAAATCCTGCCATTTGCAACAACATGGATGGATCTAGACAGTATTATGCTAAATGAAATAAGCCAGGCGTAGAAAGACAAATACCATATGATTTCACTTATTTGTGGAATATAAAAACAAAGTAAAACAGAAGGAACAAAATAGCAGTAGACTCATAGACACTGAGAAGTAACTAGTGGTGAGCAAGGGGGAGGAGTTGGGGTAGGGTGGGGGGTAGGTTTATGAGGATAAAAGAGCACAATAATTTAAATCACAATGTAAATTGGTCACAGGGACGGTAGTATAGCATGCAGAATATAGTCAATGATTTTGTAACATCTTTTTACTTTGATTGATAGTAACTCCACTAGAAGAGGTGAGGATTTGATGATGTAGGTAACTGTTGAGCCACTGTGTTGTACACATTAAACCAACATAAGATTGTTTATCAATGATGCCTTAATAAGAAAAAAAACAAAAAAAAAATACACTAACTCCACTAGCACAGGGTAACCATTGGGACTCTAAAAATACATTTTTAAGAAAAGTAAGCATTGATATAAGTTTGAATGATAGAAATCTATGACATATGAACCCTTTAGACATAGTGTCTGTTTTGAAAAGCACACAAAAAGCTATTTCAAGTGAAAAGAGTAGATTCTCTGGCATCAATTATGCTAAAGCTTTTAGAATAATGCTTCTATTATAGGATAAAAAATCACAAAAGATCTTCAACTGAGACGTCTACATACATTAACAGGACAAAACAACAAGTGTAAACGACTTAAAACAATATCATTATTACTTCAAAATAATGTTAGAATATGCTTCTATTTTCACCTGAGTTTTAATGTTTTCAGGATCCTCAGCTTGGCTGTCTCGTTTTTGGCTGGGCTTCCAGGCATTCTCTGCCTTTTTCAGGTGCACGTCTTCTTTTACAGAGACTGTGATGATCTTCCTGGGCTCTCTTCTCTGGCCAGGTTGAGCTCTCCGTGGCCCAACATTCAATAACTAGGACAAGAATATTCTTTATTATATCTACACATAAAATTTACCGTGCTGTGCTGCTTAAGTCAACCTGATGATCACACCAAACACTTCTGGATACAAAGATGACTATTAGGCACTCGACTCAGATGTGATCTCTTTTGGGGGTTGGTGGGGGGTACTTAGAACACCATCAATGTAATGTTCCCACCGCCACAATTTCTGACCCTGAAGTCCTAAATGAGAAACATAAAGTGATAGTAAGTTATGCTTGATACAGCTGTTGTTCCTAATAATAAAGATGTCTACTAGCTTTATTTTTTCCTAGTTTATGACTTTGGACTGGTCACCTGAATATGAAAACTTATGGGCAGGAAGTATTTATAAATCTGCTTCAAAAACTTTTCTAAAACTTCCAGAGTGACATGCAAATACAACCTTATCATAAAAATTCTCTAGAGCATAGACATCCAGCCTTACTGCAGATCTTAATGGATCCCTATAAATTTTCAGGGCCAGAAATACTAAAATAAGTCTTTTTTAATCATCAATGAGATCTAACTAAATTGCTCCCTGAAAAAAATGTTTTCCTTTCTATTATCAGCCCTTTGTTGCTCCTTGATTCTCACCATACATATTCTGTTAAAACCAGTATATGTCGGCATGTCACACTGGTCATCAAATGAAGAATTGTTATGTAAGAGATAACAGGCTGCATTTCGTGTATGAAAATATTCATAATAGTTGCTACCTTAAATGCTTAGAAATGATTAAATATTTGGGTTGTAAGTTTTCTCCACCCAGATCTGTGGCATATTGATAGCCTTTGCTTTTTCTGATTTTTCATTCTCTAAATGCTGAGTAAATATTGCCATTAAATTTCAAGAGGGAAGAAAAAAACTTCATACAAGATAGTTAGACCAAAATTCTATCTCAATGTACCAATACTGCCCTTTTGAATTCACATAAAGCTTCAGAGAAGGAAGTAGAAATTTAAATGTCATGCTTTGTGTAAAAAGACAGGTTCTAAGAGAGACATGGTCTGATGCCGAAGCTGAGATACTTAAAGTCTTTACATATGACTCATTCTCAGAAATACTCCCTTACATATCACCATCTTCCCTAATTAGGAATGGCAGTGTCAAGGATGTATCAGGACCAAAAATTAGCACTACACACCAATCTTGTCAAATATATCCAGCTAAACACTGAATACTGAATGATAGTATGATCTAAGACGATCTGGTAAACATTTAAGAAAGTGGAGGACAGATAAATCCATAGGTGCCAGGCAGGGTATTACTGAAAAAGAACTAAAGAGGATCACAAGACAGGAAAAATACCAACAGGGAACAGTTGCTAAACCAGACATCATTACATTTATTTATAACTGAAACTCTGGTATGGTAGCCCAGAGAAAATACTTCTGGTAAGAAATTCAGTAAACCAAGTACTGTCTGAATTTTATAATTCAGGCTATATTCTAGTTTTAATTCATGTGAGTTATAATCTTTTTCAATGTTTGGGTAAAGTTCAAATAAACAATTATATCACTAGACATTAACTTATTTAACCCATGAATTTGCACGTAAAAATTTGTCAAGAACAAGGGTTGGTGGGTTTAATGAAAGATAATTATGTCAAAATGATTTAAGGGCTCTAAAATTGTAATTTGGGAATATAATTTTAATCATGTTTGAATGATATTTGAAAATGTCCATTTCCAGAAAGTACTGCAAACACCAATGAATATGCCTTAAGATTTTAATCTAGAAAGTAAATATGATTTATGCCATATTTCTATCTGCCTCAAGATCAATGTGTGAATTTCAAATGAGCTGCACAAAAATGTGAGAAATATTACTAAGTAGACAACAATGCTTCAAAGAAAAAAAGTTTTGAAAAGATAACATAACTGTTAGACGAGGATAAAAAAGTTGAAATTATAACCCATATGCAAACTCCCAAAATAAATTTAAATATTATATTTGTATCTCTGGATATAACTAAGATAGACACTGTTCACAAATATGCATCCAAGTATATTGAGATCTCAACAAACTTACTAATACCTATAAATGTTTAATTAATTAATCTCCAACAATCTCGTATTTATGCTAATACCTATAAATGTTTAATTAATTAATCTCCAACAATCTCGTATTTATGCTTTGGGAATGAACTCACTGTTTAGAACACCAATGCCTGCAAAGACTGTGGTACAGTGGAGAAAAGCAGATTTAGAAGACAAAAGGACTGTGGACACTTGAGTATAATTCTGATAGTCATGAGCATAGTTACTATGAGCAAATCTCTTAACTTTGTTGAACTTGAGCTTTCTCTTATATGAAATACTTGTCCTACTTAAAAGTTATTATGAGGAACATAGGATGTAAGGCATGTAAAAGGACTTTAAAAACTAGGTAAGGTATCACCATTAAAAGCAAAGAACAAAAGGAACTTTTAAAAAATTGATATGTATATCTGTAATTACCTTTAGACATTTCATATCCTTTGTGTGTATGTAAAAAATTACCACAAATTGTCAAATTTATAGTACCCTTCAAAAGTTGCATCATCTATAATGATTTATTTACTAAACACAAACAAAATCTAGGATCCTCTACTAACAGTTATGGAGCATATAAAAAGCAATGAAATGAAGCCTGATCTCCTTTCATTAAGGACAGACAATCCTCATTGACAGCTGGAATAAGAACTTGAAGGTTTAATGTGCTCATTATCTGCAAACATCAGAACTAAAATGAAATGTCAAAATTTGGGGTTGATTAACTAGTGAGTTGTAATTTTTTTTCCAGGGGAACTGGAAGTTTATATTTTTTTATTCACTCTCACATACTTTTCTTGTAAGTATTAAATAAGAAATTATACCCATCTATGTTTTACAATTTAATATACATTGCTCTTATCTCTTTCAGAGACTATAACCTCAAATTCCTCTGCTTACCTGAATAACCAAAGAAAATAGCACCAGTATCTGTCCTAGGAATTTTTAGGGAGAGATAACCAAGTCTTCCTTTAAAGAGGGAAGGATATGAGCCCAGGAAACCTCTCTGCCCCTAGGATTTTTTATAACAGTTTAGCTAATCTCAAAGTCCATTGAAATGAAAATGAATGGCAAGTTACTAGCTTAGGTCCAAAACCCCTCTCTCAATACATTTCTTTTGGGGCATTTTCTGTAATGTCTGCCAACAGATGACTGTTAAATTTAAACCACAACTGCCAAGTAATTGACTTAAAAAACTAGAGAGGTTATACTGTCTGTGTGCTTCTAATAGATACACACTTTACTGCCCATCAAAAGACCTTTATGTGTGAAAATTGTATGTAACTGCGTATGACATGTTAAAACAAAATTACTATGTATCAAAAATATTTTGGATCAAGTCTATTGTAGGAAAGTTTCTACTAGGAGTCTGGGAGTCATGGCTACTTAAGCCATACTATGAAGCATACCTAGTAGATCTTAACATCATTGGGTGGTAATCATTTATAAGTCAATGTGGAAGCTGGCAAAAATGAGAGGTATATGGAACTAGATACTACGAAGAGCTGATCCTTTTTTACAAACAGTATTATTGACTGTTCCTTTATATGTTAGGTGTATATGTCCTAGGAAATTCCCATCTGGATCTACACCAACATACCAAGGTGAGCTGGACAAATTAAGTGGAGCATGCTTGCCAGCTACAGGAGATACCAGAAGAATAATTACTTGCATTATGGCCTAACATATCTGTATTACCCTGATAGATGACAATTTCACTTAAAAATTAGCTTGTAGCATATGACAGAGCTACTTGAAAATTTAATTTTAAGTGAATTAATTAAAATTAAGGCTGGTCTTTTGGAGACACTACAAATTCTTCATAATGGCTCATTTCCAGTCACATTACTTTGCACCAAATAACATGTATGTGATACATAAGCATATAGATTAGTGGACAAACATACATGGTGATAATTACTTTAAAAATCATTTTCTAATTTCAGTATTTTAAAAGAGATAAAGCTTATTCTCAATTCACAATATTTCCTTTTGCTATACTTAATTACTAAACAATAGCTAGCTAGTAATGACAAGTGACCATATAAACTAGACAAGGAGATACAGCAATTCATACCTTCTGTGACATACAAACAAAACTGGGCAATATGATAATCACAGACACTGTTAATCAGAGAATCATCAATGTGGCATCAACATTATTTCAAATGTTTGACAAAACAAAGATATGAACCAAAACCAAAACTAAAACAAAAACTAACAGAGATATAAATTTAACCACCCAAAAGGGAAAATGGTGAAAAATAAGGTATAAAATGGTTTCTAGAAAACTGCTTTCTAAGACTTCCTGGTGAGGTAATTCAAATGTTAAAAAAATTTTAATTTAGGATTTAGAGAAAATAGATAAAAGTTAAATTTTCAACCTGTGTGAGAACGGACTGTTACATGTACAAAGGTATTTAAGAAAATGATGCTCAATAATGCTTCAAATCAAGATTTTCTGTAAACTTTACAAAGCCTCCAACACACTGTAGGCAGTCAAGTATTTTCAGTGTTTGGCTACAGGCAAACTAATTGAATAATTCAAATACCTACAAGGTGACATTTGTTTCCTGATGGTGTAGTCTTACTTGAAAGCAGGTTTCAAAAGTTGTTATTCCAGAAATAAAAAGGTGATGGGAAGATAAAAAGTGTCACCTTATATAAAAATATTTTATAAACATAAAATAGTCTTAACAGTGTAATCTGCAAATAATCTGTATATCAAACCCCAACCTCCTCTAGAACTTTAGATTAAGTGTTCTTTACGTCATTCCAACTTGGTAAAAAGAGGTAGTCACATCTCAGCAACTTTCCCCTGTGCTTTCACAAGTCTACAAAGCACGGAGGAAGCAGAGCCTGCCGCATCCTGCACAGTGCAGGGCCCCAGTGTAACTCCACTGGTGACGCCACTCCCACGGTGAAGAGCCTGCCACAGGGGGTGTAAAGGCAATCTGCAGTTAACCAATACTGCACTCTTTTATACATTTCATTTGTTCATATTTTGACTTTATAAACTACAGTAAGAGAGAAGAACAAAACAAAATATTGCAACCATTTAAACTATGGTTAAAAAAAAAAAGGATTCAGCACACCCCTAGAGGTAGGCTCTTCGGGGGTGGATACGACATTGCCAGGGGAGTACAAGTTGGGGCTTTCCTCTGTTCTAGAATTGGCAATCCATGCCTGCTCTGCAATTTGCAAATCTGCAAAAACAAAGACAAAGAGATGACCATTAGGTGAAAGTCACCGAGATACCAAGTATACCAGGACACCTCAAAACAAAATAGGAATCCTATTCAAGGTTGGCTCTATTTTTAACCCATTTGCAGATCACTTCAACTGAAAAATATGAAAAAAAATCAAGACCAAATTAACACAAGACAACTTCAAGTAAAAACGACTGAAGTGTATTCTTTATTTGCTTTAATATTAGCATGGGAAGGATAGTCTTTACCTCTTCTACTTCTTGTTGGTTAGAGAATCAACAAATAAAAGCTGCTCTCTTGCAGTTAAACAAGATGTCATGAAATCTATGACAGTTTCTAACTAGTTGGGTTGTAGGGAACTTGCACTTACAGGTACACCTCTTCCACCAGGGGTTTGCCTTCCAAAATCTGCAAAGGCTGGAGTAAAGTCTGGTCCTCGGGGCAAAATTCGAGGATCCAGAGTTCGCATTGGCAATTTGGGTTGGCTGATCTAGATGAAGATGCAAAGGAAAGCTTAACATCAGTTCCAAAGGATTCAGTGCCACAAAGAAAACTTAAATTGAAAAGTTGTATCACCACTGGCTTCTTGAACGAGTGAAAGTCCAACCTGAATCACGCTAGCTACTCCTAGGCTAGCCGTAGAGCTATTATGTCAAAGATGGTTTTCTGGTGCCCTGAAACTGATTAGGCCTAAAATTTCCAAAGGGAGGCCAGACAAAATCAGTGGACTGGCTCACTAGACATATAAGACCAGCAGAATGACACAAAACAACCTACTTTGAGATCCTAGGCACCAGGGCCAAATTTTGGGATTTTCTTCCTAGAATATTCACCAGAACATCAGAGCACTTGCTTATAAGAACCCTGCTATTGCTTATTTTGGTTCTTATGCTAATGACTTATGGTTAGTAAAGCATTATTTTGAGTGGATATCAAAAGGAGATATGTTTCATATATGATGACATTTAAAATCTCACTTTGTCTGCCTTGTTTTTCAGAGATATCTGGCTTTGTATAGGCACATAATATGATTATAGGCTCAGCAAAGCTAAATAGCTCAGTGAGAGATTAACTGATTACTGGCCAAAGTCAGAAACAGAAAATGTAGGAAGACATACTCTTTCCTACAAATAACCTAATTCACTGGATATAACATTTGTCCTCTGAAGTACTGAAGTAGCCTCAAATTAGCACCACCAATCATTCGACTGTCCTGAGAAGACTTAGATATCAAGAGAAACAAGAAGACCTGTTATATAAGCCAATAAAATAATGTAAGTAAGGCCTGAATGAATAGCTCTAGAAATCTCAGTAGAGGGGTAAATGCAGACCTCATTCTATAAACTAGTTACCCTCAACGCTATAATTAAGAACTAGTTCCTCTTCAAAACAAAAATACTTTATGCTTAGTCACCAGCACTGGTTCACCACTGACTTTTATGAAATAACTTGGGCAAAACATCTGACTTTACCCCTTTTATAATAAAGACAAAATAGGCAACGTTCTAATTTTCTGTATGCAACATAAGATCATACAAAGTGAAAGGGTGACTATTTGCAGAGGAAATGAAGACTAATTACTATAAGTATCTATAAGGGAAATTTTGAGTTAAACTCTATTTGAATTATGTTGACTCCCACTTAAGTTTGATCTAGGTTTCTGATCTATCCCCAATGCCATTCTAATTCCATATTGAAGTTTTAGAACAGTGCGGAAAGAGCTCTGTGTCACTTTAGCCATACCAGCCCAACAGACACATAATTTTCACATCACCAGGAAATATCTATAAAAGCAATTAATAAATATAAAAACTTTACTACTCAAATATGGGCCAAACCTCAAGATTACTATAATCTATAATAAACCCCACATCCAATAGTATTTAGGGAAACTAATCCTTTCATTTATTCATTTTTTATTTTGGTATCATTAATCTACAATTAGGGAAACTAATTCTTAAACATTATATATTTAAATTCAAATGCCATTTGGTCTAACAATTGCTAAAAATAGCTCAGATTCACACAATTGCACTGATAATTAAAAATAGTTTACAACCAAACCACAGCTTTTCCCGAGTACATACATAGCTTACTTTGTCAAGAACCACATCACTGATGGGAGGCAGGCCCTCTGGTTTCTGTATACAGGCTGGCATGAACTGCAAGTCCAGCAAAAACTCCCTGTCATACTGCTTCTTGCCTTCGGTATCAGCAGGTTTCCTGGATTCTAGAAAGAGGGATGTAGGCAGACAACTGTCTATAGAGTCACTGTATGTATATTCAGTGAGACTACAAACCAGATTTCAATACTTGCTGTATCTCATCATAAACAAAAACACAAAGGAAACACTGAGCTGTAGTAAGAAAATGTCATGTAAAGATTTTTAAACTGTCATTTCTTCTTTCATCCCTTCTTTACTTTCAGATAGTAAAGTTATCTGAAGTAAATTGCTAAAGGAACTGTTTCACATACACATTAATGGCAATCTTAGGCCAGGGACATTAATAATTCTCATTAAATTACGAAGGCTTCAAATACCTAAGAAATAAGGAATTTGATAACTCTCTTGGTTTCATGGGGAAGTGGGATTCTTTGGTTGTTCACTTGGAAATGTTATTTTGGAGGAAAAAGAGTAAAAGGACACAAAACAGAAAAACTCATTACTCACAGTCCTATCCTTGTTATATAAAGTTAGAGAATTCTTTGCAATTTTTATTGGATAATAAAAAGTCACAATTTTTTTCTCTAATCAACAAAACTCTCATCAAAACCAGGCCCCAGATCACTTCACAGTGGCACTCTGGATCCTTCTTTATATTAGTGGTTCTTAATGCATGTATCATAGATGTACTGGTAGACTATGGGACTCTTGTTGATATTTTCAACCAAATCGTTACTACGCATTATTATGTTTATTAAAAGGTAGACAGTTTACTGGGGTTTAAATTTTTTAATTGCCTTTTTTCCAATTATTCCTAGTGTATATTACAGGGGCAAAACAGAGTTTGTTGGTCAATATAGTTGGAGCCTATAGTTGTGTACTTTTTCCTTGCCTGAACAAAGATATAATTTATACAGTTGTAAAAATTACAATGTCTCAATTTCCTGAAAGAGTGACGATGACTACAAGTGTTTTGTGATATAACATGAGCCTAGAATTTCTGAAGTAATGTCAGTATATTCTGACATTGAGTTCTAAGGTTTAAAAAAATTTTTATAATAGCATAACTTTTCAATTTTATAAAGTCCATTAGTAGCAGCTTAATGGTAGTAAAAAGATCAGTATATTAAGGTGGTATTGATCAATGGCTTTCAAACATTTTTTACTACAACTCATAGTAAGAAGTTATGATTTCATGACTCAAAACACACACATATATAAATGAAATAATTTCTTAAAACAGTACATACTTTTCCTACATGTAATGCACTGTCATTTTTCATTCTCCTTTTTAAAAAATAGTTTAACTCACTAAATGAATTTTACAACCTATTATATGGGTTAAAATGAGAAGTTTGAAAAACACTGGTCTAGATTATTTCTGAGGTATGATATTTTATATTCAAACCCCACTTCATGCAGAAGTCACTCTAGATTTGGCAGACTAAAGAAAAACTTTTCACCTATCCCAAACTTTCTACAAAGAAGCCTCCTTTCCCCCAATGTCCACACCAAATCTCATAAATCTCAAAGTCAACCATGGTTTACATAGTATTAGCACAGAGATTTAATGCATTTCATGGTAACTAAAGATGAAAGATCCTCTTGGGTTTATCATGTATTTCACAGGGCACTTCCTTTACTGCAGGTGCTCGTTCACTCAGTCATACCACTTCTCACTGACTATCAGAGTTCAATCAACAAAGTGAATTGAAGGCTTATGCAATAAGTAGACTATCTCAAAGGACTTGGTCATATCTGATATCCCTTTCAATTAATTAAATTTCTCTTGTCAAACTCCATCAGCCTAGCCCCGACGGATTCCCTTTGCCAGCTAGTCTTCCAATGCCAGTAAAAGCAGAATACTAGCATCAGATATCACTTCCGCCAACAGTGAACTCGCTGGATTTGTAGTCACTAACTTATGCCTGTTGATCTATCCTGTAAATATTACACTATGATGAGCCTCTTTTGTCCATCTAGTGTTTCTCTATGAGGAGGCAACATTGCTCTAAGGCTGCAGTAGGGTGAAGGGGAGAAGGAAACACATACACAAGAAGGCAGGGATCAACTCACCTGGTGTAAATGGGAATGTGGCCCCTTCACCAGAACCATCAGTGGAGCCTGAGTCAGCACCTATTGCTTCACCCTCAGAAACATTCTCAGCGCCATTACGCACAGGCTCAGCTTCTTCTCCATTTTCTTCCACGGCTTTCACTTTTTTTAGGTCAGAGGGGTCTCTTCCAGGATGAAACCCTTGGTTCATTTTATCTTGTTCAGATTCAAATACTTTTTCATCTGAAAGCTCTTCTTCAGCTTTAGGCTAAAGCATAAGTGAATACAGAGGGTTCTTTTTTTTTCACTGTGCGTAAATATTCACATTACACCTATTCCCTCAAAAAGCATAGGATCATATGTCACTCAAGATAAAGATGTCTATGCTCAGCATATGGTACTAGAATGGTACGTTTATTTAAAACACTTTGCCATTTCGTCTCCTGGGATAAATCAGACAACTCAAATGGCTACTAAAGTGCTTTAACATGACTAATGAAATCTAAATGTACCAAAGGTTAAAATGGAAAGAACTGTTAATCCTTGCAACTTGGTGAACATGAAAGAGTCCTAGTCAGAAATCTAAATCAAGCACTCCTATCCTTGCCACTAAAGCACAGCAAATATAAAAAGAAACACTAGCGGGTATTTTTTATGCTGTCTTCTGGCTGTGAAATGAGTTCAATGAATAGTTTAAGGTATTTAAGTACCATAAAGCTGACCATCTCTCATTTCATAAGGAGGCCACTCGTTCGTTAGTTACAATCTATATTATTTATTGGCTTTTAGGATTCCCTGGGGCTGTGACCTCATTGAAATCACATATGGAAAAATGCTTGTAATATGTTCTCTTAGGGAGAAATCTGGGTTCTGGTGCATCCCATCTATTTTTAAAGGACAAAACAGAATTGAAGTTATTCACCAGATTACTTTTGGCCATCTCAGATGCAGGTATAAAACAAAAATGGGTTTCTTAAGGGCCAAATAAACCATTAAAACTCCTTGAGTCAAATTCTCCATGAACTTCAAGTCTTTCTTTTTCCTAAAGGGTAAATAAAGCATTTTGAAAACAATCCTTTGGAAGCAGCACTCGGAGGTTAAAAGGCACTCCAATTGAAAAATTAATGCTATGAATGCCAAAGTGGGAGGCTCTGTTGAATCGGTTCAACAAGAGGATTGTGTAAAAGAATGTCATATGTATTAGCAAGTGGCTATCCCAATGGATTTATGAAGTAATGATTTTGCAAGAAATTAAAGAGTTATAAATCCTCCTTTGTTACATAAGTGAAGTATTATAACAGATATAATACTAGTAAATTTTCTTCTACTATACATCAGATCCTGGGGAAAAGACACTGAACTTTAAAATGTTACCAAAAGAAACAGGTATGTTTTAGGCCTTGTTTCTATAATGGAAATAAAAAGTTCATCCAAATACACACATACAAGCACATGCATATATTCATACACACTTCCCCACTCCCCCAATAGGAAAAAGTATTAGAAACCATCAAAAGACAGACAGACAGACATAAAAATTGCAAAATAATAAATACTGGAAATAATTAATTTCTTTTTATAAAACATGGCAAAAAATAGGCATCTTTTAAATTTTGAGAAAAAATAGACCAAGTTTGAATGATGAATTAGCAGCCTCATTTTTTCTTATTCCATACTCTATGACCATCTAAATAACTTATAATGACCATGTAATGCTACTTTATAATTAAGACAGCTCATCAAGAAAATCTTTAATGATTTGGCATGTGAGTCAGTAAATGGCACTTAAACTTATTTAAGAGCAGTGTAACGACATTGTGCAATTATATAGAATTCTTATTTCAGATCTTGTAAAATGTGAAAAAATGCTATTTTGCAAGAAAAAAATGTATTAGTCTTCTTCTCTGTACTTAAAATAGTTAAGAACAGGTATCTATTAGATATAGAGTCAATTTCTAACTGGGAGAAGAAGTATAAAGAAATTTGTTCCATGACTGACAAACTGTAATTCAGAGAACACAGAAACAGTGAGGTAGAGGTCTGGGGCACATCGTCAGAAGGGATATTTCTCAAGAGAATCCACAAAAACAGTTGCATTAAATATTTATGATAATTATTTTCTTTCAGCAGAATAAAGCTCTATTCAACTAATTTGTAAGCATCTAATGGTTCCTGAATTGTTTACTCAGAAAAGCAGACTGAAGCAAGCAAACACCTTATTGGCCTGTCAAAGGTGAGGCTTTCATAGGAACTTGTTAAAAGAAGAATTTAGTTGGCAAAACTGCCTGTTAATGAATGCATTTTTAAAGTGCTAGAAAATAATGTATGTATGTAATGGTTGATGATACATTCTTAATAACAACCCCAAATATATAACCGAAATATGCTGATACCTGAAACACATTCTTTTAAGAGCTGAGAAAAACCTAAGAAAAAGACAGTTTGATGATCAGACAATGACAAGCAATATTTACTAAACTACTCAAAAAATTTTAGGATGAGAAGGGACTAGGATTTCTGAAAAAAAGTCTGTATGCAAGTGACCAAATACCTTTCTATTATACTTTTAAACCATACAGTTGAGAAAAAAGTGATTGGCTCAAAATGAGTCAAAGCAGCTCTCAAGTATGAAGAATAACATCCTAAAGCAGGTATGAGCCAACTATGGCCAAATCTGGCTCATCACCTGTTTTTTGCATATTTGCAAGGTAAGGATGGTTTTTACATTTGTAACGGTTGAAAACAACTTCAAAGAAGAATATGATTATTACACGAAATCCAAATTTCAATGTCCATCAGTAAAGTTTTACTGGAATATAGCTGCACTCATTTGTTTACAAATTGTCTATGGCTGCTTTGGGGCTATTGTAGCAAAGGTGAGAAAGGAGACAGGCTCAGATAGCCACAAAGCCTAAACTGTTTACTATCTGAACTGTCACAGGAAAGAAAGGTTTTGCCAATCCCTGACCAAAAGAAGAAGGTGAATATTTGAAGGCACAGTAGTGGTGGCCTATCCATTTTAATATTAATAATGCTTAGAAAGCCTGCAAAGGAACATGAAATATAACAGAAGAAAACAAATAAAAACCAGCTCAATCTAAAGAGAAACCAATTTATGAAGCTCTTAGAGTCATACCAGGGATGTACGCAATTCCCCTACCTCTGGAAGGTATTTTATTCTCTGCAGGAGCAACATTTTCTTGATCAGCTGCAAAAGGAGTACAGCAACTATCTGCACTTCTGTAACTTACTGCCCGTTCTGACGCCCTGATAACCACAATGAAATCACACCCAAGAAACATTTTAGTGGTTGCTAAGGTTGCTCTGTGACATCAACAGAGCATCATGTAAGAGCAGTGACAGACAGGACAGGGAGAAGTAACAGAGGATACTGTGAGCTGCTTGAAGAGGGTAAGAATTACAATTAGAAAAGCCTTATGAAATAAATGCATTTCAAATTATTTTGAAATAACTTCTACATTTCAATACTATCTATCATCTTAAACAGTCAATAAAAAGTTATTTTAATAAAGTAAATATGAGTTCAAAAAGATAAAAGGCAACATACAGATTGTTTTTATTGCTCTTTATTTATAAACTTCAGTATATAACATGAGGGATATTAAGATTACAGACTATAAAATTGTTAGAGCACTCCCAAGGACTAACTCTGCCCTTGTTTTTTCCTCCCATTATCTCCTGGACTTGGTGAGCTGTAACCTACAGCAAAATCTGGTATGGTTTAGTTCAATTAGGCAAACCATATGTGAAAAGTTATGTTACTAGGATGCAGTTAAATTATGACAGATTCAAAATGAATTTCCCTAAAATGTATGTGATGATTTCTACCACCATTGCTAATGGGAATTTGAAAAAACTATCTTCATTTTTCTTTACCAGATTAGTCTTTCCATCTGGCTAATATAAGGAAAAATTAAATTCAGGGGACTGAGAAGTTAACTAAAAATTAGACAGTAACTTATGTTTGCCCTTCAAGAAGAGGTAATTTTGAAAGAAAGACAAGAACTCAACAAAACTGAACATGCTACTAAAAGTCTTTTTAAAATTCTGCAAATGGACATTAAAAAATTCAGACTTTGAGCTTGATAATATCAAGTTCTGCTTGGAGAACTTGGAGAACAGTTATCTCAAAAAAGACACCCATGCTTGCCTTAAAAAATGCACCACTGCTCTGAAGATAAGTTAAAGAGATTTACTGCTGCCCCTTACCTCCAATTCTGCCTCTAATACCTCTTCAGTGATTCGGGTCCGATCTTTTGGTTTCTTCCACATCTTTGGTGCAGTTATAGCTGTCTGAGCTGAAACACAAGATTAGGCTCATTACTTCCCACTGTAAAGTCATGTTTGGTAACATCAGGTCTAAAGGATACCTGTATTCAAATTTAGCAGAATAAAAGAGGGCTTCACTCATACTGAGGAGAAGATGGATGATCAAGTGAACAACTGTGTAGTTGTGGCCAGAGACTGCAATGGCAAATGTCTCAGGCACAGATCGTTAGCATCGGTTTGCATGGCCTTCCAGCCAGTGGCCTGCGTTCCTCCTGTTTTATGGTCAGGACATACCTAAGCACCTGACTCAGGATGCGGTGAGTATCTATACAAGAAATTGGTCTACTAGCCAATTCTAGACTTGCATCTGCCTCTATTATTATTTCAACTATGTGATCTGAAGCAAGTCACACACTTCTCAGTCCCCTGCATTTTCAACTATAAAGTGTAAGAGTGAGATTAAATGATATCTAAGGGTCCTTTTAAGGTACAAAAAATAAATTTCAGACTCCATTTCTTAGAGCTTTCTAGACAACAAAAGGACACTTTTCCTTTTCCTAAGTAAAGATTTCATTATATAGGCAGCACTAACATTTAGTTCTCATTTCAGATCTGTACTGTTGGCCTAGTCTTTCGTACTGCTGGGGTGAAAATCCAGAAAGAAAACAGATCTTTATTGAATTATTCTATTGTATCAGAGGTTCTAGATGGAAAATTAAGCTAACAAAGGATTTTAAAAAATTTATTTGGCTTATTCCACAAAATCATTCAACACTTGAATGTACAATTTCAAGGCAATTTAAAGACTACATAGCAAATAGATTAAAAGGATCCTACAGAAAGCAACATAAGTCTACACATAGAAGTGAGGTATTACAGGCAGATGGAGAGGGGTGAAAGTCAAAGAAGACCACTTAATAGAGACATTATCAAAAGTGAGTAAATACAAAGCAGAAGGGTACCATCTAATCTGATTGCCTATAGAAATACAAGATCTTTCATTTAGACTAAACCAATCTCTCTGGGACAACCTCAAATCTTTTTTGGAATTACAATAGAATATGAACACATGCTATTTTTGAGAATAAGAAAAAGGAGATATTTAACACTTTTCTTCTCAAAATTATTGCACCATCAAAAAAATATTAGTAAACTCCTTTGGTATGCATGCCTCAAATCAATTTTTCTTCATCCTTCTCCTCAGAGACCATAATGAACAGGAAAATATTGTTACACCAGCTGCTCTTCCTTTATGGACTACTAAAGGTGAACCATTTTCTCAAAGTAACTCAGATTATAGTAACCATGAAGTTTAGTATATAATAAACTGATTGTGAGTTTATTACTAAACTGTGGGTTTAAATTTACTATTGTTCTTGGTCTTATACTGAATATATGAATGTATGTATAGAAGTATGTAGTGGTCTGTTCATTTTTCATGGATTTTTTTCATTTTATATAAAGTCTGTTTTATGGACATCTCTCCAAAATGCTTGTCGTTAATTCTGCTTCCATGGCAGAATCCATTTTAAGAGTTACAGTTTGGGGAAGCTATACATTTCATTCTAAATTTTATTTCATATATGTATGAATTCAGCTCTAAATTCCATTCATGGAAAAGCAGAACACCACTTTCTGGAGGATTCTTAGGGATCAAATATAAACCCAGAAATTGTTTCCTCTAAATAACAAAACCAAAGATGTAGATAAGCTTCTTTGCAAGAATATACCAAAAGTACACAACCCCAAAATGTTTAACAGAATATTTCTTCATGGTTAATGCAATATATTTAATAAGCTTTTTAAAAAATAGCTACTTATGCAGCAGGAATTATTATTTGCTCCATTCAAGTGGCTATTTCAAGTTTGGATTTAAAGCAGTAATTCACAAAAAAAGGTGAGAGAAAGCCACATCTCTCTTTTTTTTATTAAGGTATCATTGACATACATTCTTACTAAGGTTTCACATGGAAAACAATATAGTTACTACATTTACCCGTATTATCGAGTCCCCCCTCATACCCCATTGCAGTCACTGCCCATCAGTGTAGTAAGATGCCACAGAGTCACTATTTGTCTTCTCTGTGCTACACTGTCTTCATATGATCCCATCCACACCATGTGTACTCATCATAATACCCCTCAATCCTCTTCTCCCTCCCTCCCTTCCCACCCGCCCTCTCCCAACCCTCCCCTTAGGTAATCACTAGTACCTTCTTGGAGTCTGTGAGTCTGCTGCTGTTTTGTTCCTTTAGTTTTGCTTCATTGTTATACTCACAAATGAGGGAAATCATTTGGTATTTGTCTTTTGCTGCCTGACTTATTTCACTGAGCATAATACCCTCTAGCTCCATCCATGTTGTTGCAAATGGTAGGATTTGTTTCTTATGGCTGAATAGTATTCCATTGTGTATATGTACCACATCTTCTTTATCCATTCATCTACTGATGGACACTTAGGTTGCCTCCATATCTTAAACCACATCTCTTTAGGACATACTCAGTCCTTTAAAAAACTGAACAGATACACACATACACTGTGTCTAGTGAGACTGTGATAAACATCCCCTCTCCCACCACTATTGACAGAGAGGTACAGTAAATTTCAGGTGTTGGGGAGAAGAGATAAGGAATGAAAGAAGGAGGGACACAGAGAAAATGACTCCCTGACTTAATGGGCAATTAACACTGAAATTAGTAAGAATAAAGGAATTAAATTTAAGACACTGTCTCAGATTTGTTTTCCTTTTTCATCTATTCCCAATGTCTATACCTGAGATTAGGCCCTTTTTACTGCACTAATGTAACTATGAGGTTTAAAGCACCACAGGACAAGTGACAGTCTCTGTATGAGATTTGTAATCATCTGATCTTAGAGATGCCCAAAGCAGTCTCCTTATCTCCATAAGAACTCAAGTCTTAGAGGCATATTTTATTTCTACTACTTTAAAATATCAAATAAGTAAATGCAAACAAAAATATAAAACTATGATTTCAAGAATTTTGCAAATTTTTACATTACTGGCAGAATAATCATGTTTTTCTTCATAGCTCTTTTTATGAAGTGACTAATGTGTAAATTCAGAAAAATACTGGTACACAGACAAGTTTAATCATTTTAATCACTGGGTGTTAGGATGATTCTCTGTCTCTCTGACAGAGGATTTAGAACTTATGCAGAGGATTCCATAATGTTAGAAGAAGTTCCCATTTTCAACTCTCATCTCACGAATGGAATACAGACTCCAGAAAATTGTGCCGCATCAAAACTGTTACAACTGGGAATGATTCGATTTTTTATTGGTATCATTAATCTACAATTACATGAGGAACATTATGTTTACTAGACTCCCCCCATCACCAAGTCCCCACCACATACCCCATTGCAGTAACTGTCCATCAGCATAGTACGATGCTGTAGAATCACTACTTGTCTTCTCTGTGTTGTACAGTCCTTCCTGTGCCCCCCATAATACATGCTAATCATGGTGCCCCTCTCTTCTCCCCCTCCCCTTATCCCTCCCTTCCCACCCATCCTTCCCAGTCCCTTTTCCTTTAGTAACTGTTAGTCCATTCTTGGGTTCTGTGAGTCTGCTGCTGTTTTACTCCTTCAGTTTTTTTTTCTTTGTTCTTATACTCCACATATGAGTGAAATCATTTGGTACTTGTATTTCTCTGCCTGGCTTATTTCACTGAGCATAATACCCTTTAGCTCCATCCATGTTGTTGCAAATGGTAAGATTTGTTTTCTTCTTATGGCTGAATAATATTCCATTGTGTATATGTACCACATCTTCCTTATCCATTCATCTTCTGATGGACACTCAGGTTACTTCCATTTCTTGGCTATAGTAAATAGTGCTGCGACAAACATAGGGGTGCATATGTCTTTCTTAAACTGGGTTTCTGCATTCTAAGGGTAAATTCCTAGGAGTGGAATTCCTGGGTCAAATGGTATTTCTATTTTTAGTTTATTGAGGAACCTCCATACTGCTTTCCACATGGTTGAACGAGCTTACGTTGCCACCAGCAGTGTAGGAGGGTTCCACTTTCTCCACATCCTTGCCAGCATTTGTTGTTCTGAGTCTTTTCGATACTGGCCATCCTAACTGCTCTGAGGTGATATCTCATTGTGGTTTTTATTTGCATTTCCCTGATAATTAGTGATGTGGAGTATCTTTTCATGTACCTGTTGGCCATCTGAATTTTTTCTTTGGAGAATTGTCTGTTCATATCCTTTGCCCATTTTTTAATTGGGTTATTTGCTTTTTGGGTGTTGAGGCATGTGAATTATTTATATATTTTGGATGTCAACCCTTTATCGGATCTGTCATATATTCTCCCATACTATAGGATGCCTTTTTGTTCTGTTCATGGTGTCCTTTGCTGTACAGAAGCTTTTAAGTTTGATGTAGTCCCATGTGTTCATTTCTGCTTTTGTTTCCCTGGCTCAAGGAGATGCATTCAGAAAAAAGTTGCTCATGTTTATAGTCAGGAGATTTTTGTCTATGTTGTCTTCTAAGGGTTTTATGCTTTCATGACTTACATTCAGCTTTTGATCCATTTCAGTTTACTTTTGTGTATAGGGATAGACAATAATCCAGTTTCATTCTCTTGCATGTAACTGTTTAGTTATGCCAAAACTAGTTAGTGAAGAGGCTGTCTTTTCCCCACTGAATGTCCATAGCTCCTTTACCATGTATTAACTGACCATATATATACCTGGGTTTATATCTGGGCTCTCTAGTCTGTTCCACTTGTCTATGGATCTGTTCTTGTGTCAGTACCAAATTGTCTTGATTATTGTGGCTTTGTAGTAGAGCCTGAAGTCGGGGAATATAATTCCCCCAGCTTTATTCTTCCTTCTCAGGATTGCTTTGGCTATTCAGGGTCTTCTGTGGTTCCACATGAATTTTAGAATTATTTTCTCTAGTCCATTGAAGAAAGCTGTTGGTATTTTGATAGGGATTGCACTGAATCTGAAGATTGCTTTAGGAAGGATGGTAATTTTGATAATATTAATTCTTCT